AAGGTGTATCTTTGACGTTGTCTCCTCCTCTCTAGATCCTTGCTTGTGTTGTTCTTACTCTCTGATGTTTTCCGTATTGGATAGAAGCGTCTGAATTGTAGAACTCACAGAAAGAGCCTTTTGTCTCTGTCCTCGTATGTACAGAAATTGTTTAACAGTCTTCCTGCTCTTCTTTCTGCTGACTGATTTGGTAACACAGACTTATTTTGCGATTTCAAATTCAAATTTTTAACAATTTCAGAGACAGAATCATTCCCTGTGCTTCGTTCCTCTTTCTGTCATAATGCACCGAGGCGGTTTTTTTTAAAATCAGTTTTTAACACCTGACCAACAAGGAAACACTAGAAGCACCATTTACAATTTGGACTTTTTTTAGCAGCGAAAACGTTTTTTCTTCCCCCCACTCTCTCTAGGTTCTGATGACCAAACGTTACAGTAAATTTGGCAAACTCACCTTCACAGCTCACGCCTCTGGTCAGCACTACCTCTGCTTCCAAAGCAACTCCACGCGGTTCTCAGTCTTCGCTAGAGAAAAGCTGGTGAGACCTGCGGAGATGAATACAACATTCAAACAGAGGGAAAACGCAGCAAGCTGAGTCAATGCCTGCGTTTTATAAAAAACAGCGACTAACTCTCCTCTCTGCTACAGAAGCTGCATTTGGACGTTCAGATGGGAGAGCACACGATTGGCCACAGCACAGAAAAAACCAAAGACAACATGGTGCTGTTGGAGAACAGTCTCAGACACCTCTTCGAGCAGATGATGTACATCATCAGGCAGCAGGAGTACCAGAGGGTGAATAACCTTTTTCTTAACCATGTTAGGGCTAATGATCATCTTTGAAAGGCATAGGCCCCCGTGTCCACCTATAACATTTGTTTTCTGAGCGCCAGAAGGAAGCTGCCTGGAGAAGAACGGCGTCTTTTTTGCGAGCGCTCTGCCTTTTTTGTGCGGCCGCTCCGAGAGCTCAAGTTGAAAATAATTTAACTTTTCAGAAACGCGCTCGCTGACGTCACAACGCTCTTTTCCAAATGTAGCCTATGTTTTTCCCCGTGTTTTTCCCGCCTACGATCGTGTCTTGCACCCACATCCTCCTCGCTCTGCGTCTGATCGGGTAAAAACGATCTAAAATATAAAACATGCAGTAAAAAGTAACGGAGCAGTGTCGGTCATACAGCGGTCGTTATTCTTATGCTTCATACATAAACATCCATGTTTCTTTTTCCCGTTTTTTTTACATGATATTTCGTCCTCTCACAGGAAAAGGAGGAGGTGTTTCGTCAGATCGGCGAGGACACCAACAGTAAAGTGCTGTGGTGGGCCGTGGTGCAGACCTCTATCCTGCTGTCGGTCGGTTTCTGGCAAATGAAACGACTCAAAGACTTCTTCATTGCCAAGAAGTTGGTGTGATGTACGACCTTTGACCTGTCGGCTCTCAGCCTGATGATCATCTCAATGTCGTATACAAAAAAAGGCTGCAACAAGTATACGAGAAAATAAACGCTCTCTCCTCTTACTGTCAAACAGCTGGTCATATGAACACGGGGAAAAACGAAAAAATGATGTTTGAGTAGCAGGTATGTGTTTAGAGATGATGTTAGTGTTGTAAGGACAATCTTTGAAATATTTCTAGTGGGTTGTTTTTAAAGCTTCTGCTCCTCCTCCATTATTTAACTCAGTTGCCGTGACAACAGCATTTCATTAGACTTAATAAAGATAATAATAACACTGTATCTGACTTTTATAGCGCTTTTCCAAATACTTAAAGACACTTAACACAGAAGAACAACAAAATAAAACAAAGAAGAAAGAATGTCAGAGAAGGAGGATGAGGACGGGGTGTGTTCGTGGTTGTAGGCGACGTTGAAGAGGTGAGTTTGTATGGATTTCTTGAAGTTGGAGAGATGGGGGGGGGTCTCTGACGTTAACATTACAATTAGCTTTTTTGAAGGTAATATTCCAGTGACACAGTTTAGACTTTAGTTACAGTTTCGATCGATTTGGCTCCTTTTACAAAATAGGACAAAAGTACAATTATCAGTTCAGTTTCATGTCTTTAAAAGGTCATAGGTCAACCAAACACATTTCATTCTTGTTTCAAAACGGAGCTCAAAGTCAAAGTCAACTTTATTGTCAATTTCAAAATATGCCAGACATACAGTGGAACCGAAATTGCGTTTGTCTCCGTCCCGCGGTGCAATACAACCAGAATAAGGTAAAATAAGATAAATAATATTTACAGTAATAAATTCTATGCGTCAGGAAATTGGTCAATGGCACCAAAATAAAAAGTTGTCATTGTGTGAGTGGTATACTGGTCAAAATGTTTCACAAATCTTGTCATGTTTTTGTCACTCTGGAAAAGTTTCGATTACCAATTTTATTTCACACCTTCTGTTGACACTGATGGCTCACTGTCGACTCGCTGAATGCTCCTTTATTCTGTATCTAATGAGCCTTTTTTGATTCAAATTTCAACACTAGTTCAACGTTTTCAGGGAACAACCCAAGCTGTAAGTTACAGCAGTAGCCTACACATAAAGATCAGTACATCTGTATGTCTGCAGTGCATTTGCCTGGGTAACAACAATGTGTTACATGTACTGTAGCCTACAGGAAATTCACCTTTGGTCTTTCATGTCAAGTCATATAACCTAAAGAAAATCTGTCACAAAATGACACCCATGTGTTTCTTCATTCATTACTGACAGCTGGCAGCTCATTAACATGTGATGGATGTTCATGGAGAACATGACCCGTCTAACTGACGGGACCATTCTTCTGTGACAGCTCAAAAGATGACAGAAAGTTTAGAAGTTGTGAAGAGTTTGACAGTTTCAGCATCAACATATCAGTTTGAATCAGTCCGTAGGTAGAAGTGGGTGTGGTGCTTATTTGTACTGTTTTGCACTCAAATTTACCTGAACTAGTTAGAAATTCAGATCTGTTGTGAAACACATAGACCTGATAAATAACTGTTCAGAGATTTGATCTTTTTGTCTCTCATTTGAGAATTGAGCAAAAGTAAATGAGGGAAACCTGCAAAATGTTTGCACAAAAATGCACATTGTTTAGTATTATTCTATGTACAGGCTTTAAGCAGAGGCTTTGCATTTAAAATCACAACATGAAATTATTGACTAAAAACAGCTATATCCTAATAAGAAAATATAATTTAAAAAAGCAAATGTAGGAGATTTTTTATTTTCCTTCTAAGACACTAAATAGTTAATATAACTTACCACTTTTAAAATACGTACCTGTGAAGGTTCAGTTGATGTTACAGTTCTTCATTTGACAGATAGCCTCGCATCCATGAAAGAGATCGAGTGTGGTACCGGAAGTTCATGTTTTCCATCAGCCATGATGTCATCACCATCCAAGGTAGACTGACCACGAGCTTCATGAGGATGAAACGATGGTTAATGTTCCTGTAGGAGACACAAGTTCGTCTGATATGAACCTCGTTTTAAGAACAACTCGGATTATTAGCGACCTCGGGTTGAAAGAACTACACTACCCACAATCCTAGCGTTTAACAGCAACGTCTTTGATTGGAGGAGCCCGCTGTTACCATGGAAATGCTCACTGAACCCGCGAATTCAGGCTGTAAACAGAAGTTAACAGAAGTTCAACACAAACTAAAACATGTTACAACATTTTATTAACAATATAAACACTAATACAAAGATAAATGTAGAAAGACGTTCAGAAAAAAGCGCGCTAAACTATCGTTTTGTGAGAACTTGTTGGAATTGCATCGGACATGTGGCTGCAGGAGCTGGGAATAAAGATAAAGATTAACTTTATTGATCCCCTATGGGGGACATTTTTTTGTCACAACAGCTCCAGAAACAGAAATATAATAATCAACAATAACAAGAAGTTAAAAATCAAACATGTGTAGGCCTACATCAGTTAAATAAAGGGAGAAAAAAATACAATAATAGAATAATACTAGAATCGAACCCCCGACCTTCTGGTTGAGAGACAAACCGCCTCTACCACTGATCCACAGCCGCTAACTAGAAGATAATTTAAGTGCTTTTTAATCCAGTAGATATTTGACTTTATAACCGAGCAACGTTTTTCAGATTGAATGTGGGTAACTTAAATGAGATTTCCAAGATAGTCTTTGATCTATTATCACACCAAGAAATGTAGCTCCTTCCACCACTTCCATTCCCATCTATTGTTAGACTGATCAATGCATCTTTCCTTCATTAATCATTACAACTTTCATAAAACACATTGAAAATAAAGATGCTTTCTCCCCTTGATTTAGTAGACAACGCACACATTGACCACTAGATGGCAGCCATGCACCACTGACATGAGCTTGTGTTTGAGGCCATGAACGACCATCTAACTTTACAAAGAGACTGCTGTGATGGAGGGGTTTTGTGCAAAATAATGAATATCAAATTGAATTCTGGGTTTGTTTTCTTCTATTTGAGAGATCGACAAAAAAAGTAAGTATGCAAAGTTTTGTGAACTTGTGTAAAATGAGAGTGAATAAGACAAATTCATTCTGCATCCGTCACATGAAGCATTAACAATCATTCTTCTCCTGGCATTATTGTGAAGTGATATTTGGAACTGAATACCCTTGTACGGAGGACGGGGTAAAAGACACAGGAAACAAATGTCTGAATCTGTCGTCAGCCTCGGAGAAGTATCTCCTTCATGTGGTCAGGCGTACCAAATTTCATCCTTGGTAATATTATATATTGATTTAATATACAGGGAGCCGACGAGGACAGTTGTGGGCTGTCAGGACAGAAGACAAAAGGTTGTTTGGGGAATGCGTCCCGGTGAAGAGCTGAAATAGCTGCTGGAGGAATTTGTTGTTCTAAAGTGAATACTCTCAGCCGTTCAGTCTGCTTTTCCATCTTTGTTAAAAATGGAAAAAATAAATTGATGCCTGTGTGCTATCACATTACAAATTATACAGCTCAGATCACCCCTCCTCCTCCTCCTCCTCCTCCCAAAGAATCCCAAAGTAAAGAAAGTTTTCAAGACAATAATGCAGAGAATGGAGAGAGGAAGATCAAAAGAAAGAGGAAGACAAGTCCCGACAGGTGGTAACGTGGCTGTGCAGCCTCTTCTATAAATGTTGGATGTGTTCGCAGATTTATCAGGCTTTCTTGGGGACATGTGTCTGAATGTCTGCCTCATCTATGGGAAAAACTATCCGCAAAGAGACGGCCATAAGTCTCCCTCTCTCTCCGCGTTTGAACTCCAGAACCTCTGGAATTGTCACATCATCGTGCAACTGATACAGGGAGGACATGCGATCTGAATTACAGCCACGGCATTGTTCACATTTCTGAGAGTATGAACTGTCCGCCTTTGCGATTTTTCATGTACATCTGTGCACCTTTGCTGCAGACACTCCAAATGAATATCCTAACCTTTTCACATCACATTGGACTTTTTTTTTTTAAATGTCTGTTCTCATTTTTTATTTTATTTTTTTTTACCTCTCCCCGCTGTGACTTCATCCTGACAACGCTTTCACACCCCGAGTCTTCATAAAGATAATTGACAAACAACAGAAAATGCCAGATGAGGTAAATGCCATTGCACAAATAAAAGCACGCTGGGAAGAGGGGGAAAAAAATGTCAGAAAGTGCTGCCTCGCCTTTCACAATATTTAGATTGGGATCAAGAGATTTCCTGTTATTTATTAAGCTGTATTCCTGAGTGACTGACGGATGAGTGAAGATGATCAGAGCGTAAAAATAGTCGTTTGGAAAAACACTGTTTGCACAAAATAAAAAACCCAGTCTGTATATTCATGTACACATACTGTAATGTTTGTAGCTTTAATTCACATCATGGCAAATACAACGCATGTATAAGAATGTATTCATCATGTTTGGTTTCCCTGGCATCGTTTTATTTAAATGTTTTCATGCTAATTGTTTGAGCACATTCAAAACAAAGGAATGAATGAAACCTTTATTGCCCCTCGGGGAGTTTACCTCGCAGCGAGCGCTTAAAAACACAACGTGATAAAAGACGTAGAAACCATATAGGACAGCACATAAAAACTAAATCAATGCCAGATTTATACTGTATGATCAAAGCTTGTTGAGCTGCTGAATGATGCACAAACTACAACACAAACTACACAAAACACAAACCAAAACATAAAATACAACACAAACTACACGATATGAAACACAAAACAAAACACAAACTACACAATACAAAACAAAACACAAACTACACAAACTAAAACACAAACTACACAATACAACACAAACCAAAACATAAAATACAACACAAACTACACAATACAAAACACAAACTACACAATACAAAACAAAACACAAACTACACAAACTAAAACACAAACTACACAATAAAAAAAACACAAACCAAAACATAAACAACAACATAAACTACACAATACAAAACAAAAACTACAACACAAACTACACGATACAAAACACAAACTACACAATACAAAACACAAACCAAAACATAAACAACAACATAAACTACACGATACAAACAAAAACTACAACACAAACTACACAATACAAAACAAAACACAAACTACAACACAAACTACACAATACAAAACAAAAACCAAAACATAAACTACATTAAAAGCTCCACAAACTACACAAATCAAAACATAAACTATGACATAAACTACATTAAAAGCTACACAAACTACATAAACCAAAACAAAGACTACGACATAAACTACGACATAA